CGATCTCTGCCTCTTTGTATATCGTCAATGATTTTGAAAAACCTGCACCTTACTATTTCTACAGTACATTTACCTCTTATATTGCCATTAAACTGTGTTCTTCTATAAAACACGTCGTCAATCAAATCGTTTTTTATAAGTACAGTTACGGAATTAAAATTTCGGGCAGTATTTTTCTGCCACTTCAAAAAGTTCACTGCAAACTACCTTTTACGGTCATCATGACTAACATTTGACAATTAAACTTTTTTGTCAGTGACACTATTTTTTAAATCAAAACAACATAAACATGACAAGAGTAAAGGTTGTTTTAGAGTTTACATTGTGAAAATGACAATACTGCCCGAAATTTGAATTCCGCAACTGTACATAAAATACACTTCTTTTGACATTTTGTGCCAATTATTTTATAACAATTTCTGAATTTAGTCAAATTTCTGATTCAATATTAATGTTGGAAAAAATTTTGAAGACAACGCAAGTTTTATAGTTTATAAATCGCGGACTATTAAAACTATGACCTCCATTAAAACTCTTGTTGTCTTAGAGTTTTTTTCTTTTGGTTTTCCTCTTTTGTCAAATGTATTTCACTATTTTTCAAAACTATTTCATTTGATATATTAATGTAATATTAATATTAATGTAAAGTGATGTACATTTGACAAAATATTAAAACCAAAATAAAAAAACTGTAATCATTTTTGGACTCTTTGAATTGTTAGTATTTGAATTTTTCTTACAAAAATCTAAGAGTTCGGGGTAACGATAAAAACGTTCTTTTGCTTTTTATGAGAACATGTGCACATGTTTAAATTTCGCGCTCTTATGCGCCCGCCATCTTTCGCATTTATTTTTCAAAAATTTATTTATAGCGTATCTATAACGTTTTAAAACTTTTCTGGATCTGGAGCAATATTAAAGTTTTTAATTTTGTCGATTGTTGCCAAATTTTGATCGATTTTCCGCACTTTTATATTTGTATCTTAAATGAAATATTGTCCTGTGCACTTAACAACAAATGCCCGTTTTTGCGTATTACTTTCAACGTGAAAAGTTCAACTTTTTT